ATATCTCACAAAAATGAATAGCTAATGAACACTGCTAATGAATGAATCTCAAAAAAAAATTAGTACTCGGGATGACTGAGTACCTAAAGCAAGATAACAATAATATCAAAATTATGAGATGTGTAAAAGCATGTAGACATTGATATGCAAATGTAATTATTGATAAACAACTCAAAAATACATATAAACTTTACTCGATATGTCAAATAAGACAAAGTTCTACACAAAAGAGATACAGTAACTGCATAAAACAAGTCCTAGAAGACTAAGAGTAAGTTAATAATGAAAATAAGATAAATGATATATCCAGGGATCTACTACACAAAAGAATAAAGTACTGCATAAATATAGTTTACAAAAGATAGAAGAAAACAAGTGACAGTAGGTATACTACAATCAAACTTCAAAGCGTCATAATTCTACACCAGATTTCTAAAAGTAGATTTGCATAGAATTATTTTAACTCCAAAAGAAATAAGAAAAAACACATCATCAAAAAAAATATATATTTGTCTCTAAAATACCAAAAAGGAGCACATATTCATATAATCTGGCCCAAAATCTCCTTAGGATACATGTATCCTAGGAAACTAAAACCCTATGTATGTATGCAACAAACACCATGTCGTCATACATAAAGTGCCGAATGAGGCTTTTAATTGTATCAAAATCAAAAACAATTACCTAAAGTAAAATATTTGTCTTAATAAGGCCAATTGTAACTATTTCCTTAAATATAGATATTATATACTATATGTCACTGTAAATCGTTTTCCCAGTCAAAATCGTCTAAGCCATTCAGTCGGTAGTATCAAACAGCAGCGCGAAGTATACTAGACACTTGTTTACTACGGTGCCGAAGTTCGGTTATAAATTTTAGGTAAGTTATAAAATCACTATAAAGTTACTTAAATAATATATACCAATTATTATTTCTTTGTAAAGCAGTAGAAAATTAATACTCTTTTAGAAACTGGTACTGTTTTTTCGCTATATTGCTTTTTATTATTTTTTTTATGTTAAATAGAAAAGTAAACAGTGCCCTAATAAGGCCAATTGAATGGCCTTATTAGGAGCTGGTTGACATTATAAACAATTTGTTCACATAATCGTTTAATTTTGGGTGAACCATAATAACGAACGTACCATTAACCGAGCAAGATTTCGGCAAATATTTACGCCGGTTTGGATAAACGCAATGAGGCAAAAAAAATATTTGTTCTGGATTTGATGCAACTGGAATATGGCCATCCAATTCAAATGCTATTCCGGATGCTGTCTTTGCACCTAGTTGTCTGACACAACGAGAGATTGAAACAATCGCCGATATTTTCAAGAAAATCTTACAACCCAACCAGAAAACAACTTGCAAAAAGAATACAAAATTTGAAGAACAGCTATCCTGCAGCGGTGTAAACAAATATAATAAAAGCAAAGCATTATCGAGCAGTGAGAAAAGGAAAATTACCAAAAAAAAAAGAGCTCACCAAAGTTTTTCATACTTAATCTCAGATGAAGACACTGACTCATCTGGGTCTTACACAAGCGGTAAAGCTTCCAGCGAGGATTATAGTGATGCAGTTTATACGTCAAATAAATATGATAAAAATAAAGTTGCAAAAATAAGTGAGACAGAGCCATGTGAAGAACTAAATGCAAGTTTTAGTTCCAGTGGATTACTGATTACACCGGAGTTAAAAGTATCAACAAAAAAAACGTCGGCAGGCCATTAATGCGAAAGCACAAGAAGTTACCAGAGATTTATTTAGTGCACAATCTTATAGCTCAGCAAAACCAAAACGGAATTTAAAAAAAGATTCATGGTACTGTTTCTTATGTGATGAGGAAAGAGTGGCTGATATGCGCAAGTGTGTTTGTTGTAATAAGTATATCCACGAGGAATGTATAGGATTAACAAAAAACGACAAGAAAATATTTGTATGTTCTCGTAAATGTGCGATATATGTACTATGTATTGACAAGTTTTTGTTTTTAATATCAGTAAACGTTTATTTCACTAACTTTAAATTTATTCTTTAATTCTTAGTTTTAAAATTTATTAGCCACGTCAAATTTCCTTCAAAAATGAAACTGGCCTTATTAAGTTACCAGTTCCAAATAAGGCCAAATATTCAAGATTTATTGAATGTTAAAATTTTATATTTCTTTATTTATTTATTAGGTATTTTATCGTAAAATTCGATAGCTAAAATGTTAGGCAATACGTATACCAGACTTTTCCCCCATATTTTTGCTGAATAAAATATTAGACATTTAAACATTGTCAAATAAATAAGATTAATAAGTTTATCATAACTAGACAAATATCAAAATATAAAGAGATAATAATAAAAGATCATGCTTTACCATATTATACAACCATATTATTGAGACTTATCACTAGAATCAGTAACATCTAATTATCTTGCACATTAAAATTACCAAGGTCTTTACCATCTAGATCCTTAAGATTATATATCAAACGAGATAAAACTTTATGTATAATACACGGATAAATACTCAAATAAATAAGATTAATAAGTTTATCATAACTAGACAAATATCAAAATATAAAGAGATACTAATAAAAGATCATGCTTTACCATATTATACAACCATATTATTTTTACCATATTATTGAGACTCATCACTAGAATCAGTAACATCTAATTATCTTGCACATGAAAATTACCAAGGTCTTTACCATCTAGATCCTTAAGATTATATAACAAACGAGATAAAACTTTATGTATAATACACGGATGAACAGTAAATTTGTGACAAGACAGTTTTATTATCCATCTGGCAATTCTAGAGGGTTATTCATCCTATATAACCACTGTAATAAGGAGTGATCTGTAATAACAGTAAAATCATTACTACTTTCAATTTAGCATCTAAATTTTTCAATTGATAACAATTCTTTCTCAGTAGTTGTATACTTTCGCTGAGCTCTTGTTTTAAGTTTTGCTGAAGTAAGCAATATGATGTTCTAATCCATCATCTTTTTGAAATAAAACATCACCCACAATAGAGTCATTGCATCACAAGAAAGATAGGAATGCTAGAAAAAATCAGGACTTGCAAGAAGAGGAGCTGTTGTAAGAACCTGTTTAATTTTATGAAAAGCTTCATCAGCTTCAGGATTCCACGTAATAGGTTGACCTTTCTTTCTGCGTTTCAGCAAAAGTCAGAAATGGGACTGCAAATAGTAGCAAAATTGTTTAAGAACATACGGTAATAACCAATTAAGCCAATCAACCGACGTATCTGGATTGTATTTGTGGGTACAGGGTATTTCAAAATATACTGGACCTTACCAGGATCAGTTCTTAACCCTTGATCATCCACTACAAATCCAAGATTGTGGTGAAGATCTGCAAAACTTTCTTTCTCAAAATTAGCAGTGTGATCTGCATATTTCAAACGTTTGAATGGCATTTTCAGAGTTTTGATATGAGTATCAAAAGCTGGGGTTACAACGATAATATAATCAAGATAATAGAAAACATAAGGTTCTAATAAAGGACCTATAACTGAGTCCATGACTCTACATATATCTGCAGCACTATATATAAGACCGAAAGGTAAAACATTAAAATATATGTAACTATCAGAAACTGTAACATAATTAAGGTTCCTACCATCGAAACAAACTCGGTGTGAACCATCTTTCTTTGGCACAAGCCATAAAGGAGAAGACCACGGTGTACTGGTAGTTAAGGGTTCTATAATTTTAAGGTTATGCATTTCATCCACTCCAGCATTATTAAAACGTCTGCATAACAGGAGATAATGGATACTGTCTCTGTTTACTAGGTTTAGCATTGGCATGGAATCTGTAGGACCTATTTATTTAAACAACTTAATGTCAGAGTTGAGTTGTGATTGCTGAATGTCAGAAGGATTTTTAGAACTGATAATAGTATTTACTACACAAGTAGATAAATCTGTAGCCTTAAATGAAAAATTGAGAAATCCAAAGAAAGTTGAAACAAATGAATAAAATCCATACCTAATATCATTTTATGTGAAATAGAAGGAACTATTAACACTTTAAGTAATTGAGTTTTACTCAATAAAGTAACAGGTAGCCAAACATATCCTAAAGTACTCTGAAAGTCTCATTAACTACAATAATAGAAATATGTGGTATATTATCCTTAGTATGAATATCTACTAATGGACCAGAATTGAAATGTAGCTTAGAATTTAAAGGACCACTAGAAGAAACCGAAGTACTGGATAAAGGTAGTTTCAGATTGTGCTGAAGAAAAAGTGCATAAATTATCATTAGACATAAAAGGAGAAGCAGTTTTAGGTATAAGTAACACAATGTTTTTTTTTAATTGTCTGTCTGCATTAACCCTCTCTAAAATTTTATAATAAAATTCCGCTCGTCTCTCAGCATCTCCTTCTCTTAGTTTTTGTTGACATTGAAATTTATATGAACAGAATTTATTCCTTTCCAAAATTTTTAAGGCCGTGGAATTATGAATATTAAACTGTTCTACAATGGTCCGTTATGAGTTATGAGAAATCAGCACCGTTACTCCCTGCTACAGTCTATATTGCAAGGTAAAGTCAAAGGTAAGCGAGGACCCGGTAGAAGGAGAATATCATGGCTGCGGAATTTAAGAACATGGTTTAAGAAAACCTCAACGGAGCTGTTTCGAGCCGCAGCGAGCAAGGTTATGATGGCCAATATGATTTCCAACATCCGAAACGGATAGGAACTGGAAGAAGAACAATGGTCCGAGAACTTATTCTAAGATTTTCTACTACCGCTGTTAATACATTTATTTCATTTTTAATTTCTTGGTACCTCAGCAATATTGTTTGTATGGGTACAATTAGAAATCACGGTCCCAATATTTTCAAAATTTTGTAAAATCCTTTGAATTGTTGAATGACTTGGAATTGATCTATTGGGATATCTTACGCTATATAAAAAACTGACAATTCGCGTAGTAATGTCTGAATAAAACATTTTTATTATTGCTACTCAACTGAGTACATTTTTTAATCAACTTTGTTTTATAAACAATAAATAACAAAATAAAATATTGGCAATTTAAAAATTGTCAAATATCAGAAACATCAATAAGACGAAAAAGAAATGTGGCCTGAACAATATATTATATTTTTGAAATACGTTTAATTCGTACAATTTATTATATATAACATTTATAATCGATACAGATTTCAGTCCTTACAAATAGTTTCCCATGACTTTTGGTGTAAAATAATTAGGAAAGCAGGAATATAAGTTATCGGGAAGAACTGCTTTGAGAATTTAAAACTCGACGTTTGTCACCTATTTTGAAGCCATTATTAAGAGGGATATGTTTCCGTTCAAGTTCGGGGTCTCAATTTGCCTACTCGCCTCACTCGTGACGTATAAGTATCTTGTTCTCCAGAAATATGAGAACCGTTAAACGATAATGAGGTTTCAATCTGCCTACTCCTCAGTGTGAGTGGCGACCGGTCTTACCCGTATAACTGCTTTTATACTCTCAATATTGTCAGCCCCCAGTCTTCATTGGGATTTGGTCTTTTACGGATCTGACAAGATTGGACAACTTGGAATGAGTAGTGAAGATTGTTTTGATGTTAACAGTTACAAGATCATTAGAACTATTAACCTTCTAAACACCAAAACCATCTACACTACTAGAAAAGGGATTGTGATCTCCGTTGTTATTGGTCAGATCGTGACGTGTGAGGTATCGTCGGAAAGGGGAGGGGGTAACGAATACGTTAACACAAAAAACTTTGTTGTACGTTGAGCTGTTAGGCGCTACAAGCTTAGTGACCGTTTGGCAATGTAGCCATCAAAACTATCAATAAATTGTCATGGGCTTTGTAAACGCTAAATTTAGAAAAGTATTCGCCGTCAAGAAAATGGAACATACAGAACAAAGGATCGACGTGAGAGTGAACCTATTGATTTTTTTTAAGCAATATACTGTCGTTCGGGTTTATGCATTCCAGCGCGTAAAAGCTGGTATAGTCAGCTAATAGGATACGCATAAAAGACGTTCATTATTCATTAAGGCGAATTGTACTGCAAGCTAGGAACTGTATTTCACGTAAATGTTGGATTTATATATAAAAACTATTTTTTAAAGTAGACAGTTTAATTTTAATAAGAAACAAATAGAATAAAAAATAGAATCACAAATAAGTATAAACTGCTTTTAATGGTTTCCCAATGCAATACCTTTCTAATATGTTGCTCGCTATACTTAGCTCAGATCTATATTTTAGATATGTTATAATCCATAATTACAATTACGGGTTAGGTCTCCAATATATAAAAATATAATACACTTGTTTTAAAATTCCATTTCTCAGTAAATTATACAGCATACTGTTCTAAAATGAGCAAATTTGAGAAGAGAGAGAGAGAGAGAGAGAGAGAGAGAGAGAAAAAAAACATTGAAAAACAGACTTGTATGTCAGAAATATATAAGATAGCGCATTCGACGTGTTTCAGGTAATTCGCAGAATGATTTACTGGTTACAAGAATTATGCTAGAAATTGCTTAAAAAAAGCTTGCAAAAATAAAGTTCGTAAAACATATAATGGGTTTTTATATAATCAAATCACGTTTTTTAATACCATCATGACACACAAATGCAAGCAACACTTATAAAACTATTTGTTACATAAACTTAACTGATTTACAAATAAAATCAATGTTGCTTTAGTTACAAACTTGATTTTCGTTTTTTCTTAATTTAATAACTTAAGGCGAATTCTGCAAGGCGATAATCGTTTAATATTCATCTTCATCTCCTACACCTTCAACCTCGTCTGGAGGTGCAAATCCCTCCTAAAAAATAAAAATAAACTAAACTATATCATTATCATAATAGCTTATACGTATCACAGTAAATATAAAATATTTTTGGAATAAATTACAATTGATTGCAATTAAATTTGTGTTTTGTTTTAACGTTTCGATTTGCAATTCGGAAATCGTTTAAAAAAAATCAAATTATAAAAAGGACCCCGGAACTTTTCTTATGTAAAAGATTTTCTGAACCTTTGCAGAGAGGTAGCTTTGGTTATGCTTATCAAAAGTTATCATTACTCCAAGACTTAGAAATTAACTGTTTCAGAGATCCAGTCGCTTTTTTTGATTCCTTTTAAATAATACATATTTATAAAGTACAGTTTTAATAAATACGTGCAACAACTTGAGGGGGTAGTTCTGCATGAAAAATTTTAGTTTGCTATGAATAGATGACCAGATATTAAAATAATGATATTTGTTACATCTAGTTTTCATCTAGTGCAGGGGTCGGCAACCTGCGGCTCGTGAGCCGCATGCGGCTCTTTGGATGTGAAGCTGCGGCTCTTTAGTTCCACACGCAAATATTATTTATTTTACAAAAAAAAGTTTTAAAAAGCCTTCTGAATCGATTAACGATGATTAGACACCGATCCTTTCAGTCATTTATACTCGCTTCCCACCGCACCCTTCTAACGTCACACGCGACGTCACTGTCGTCAAAAAGTAAAGACTTCGCCGTGATAAACACGTTCTAACAAGTCCGTTTGTGTCGGTCAGCATCGACGATCACCGCACACAGGAGACAACTACAGATGCGACGAAACTGAGTACTTTTAGTCAATCAGTACGTGAGAGAGTGCGACAAACAGTGTTTCGTGTCCAAATAATCAGAGATTTATTTATTTTATTTAGGTTTGGGCGCAAAGAATAGCTTTGTGCCCAAACATTTCCAGCCAAAATAGTTGAGGTCATGAATTTGGTGATCAAGATTGTTAATAGCATCTTGTCAAAAGCACTCTACCATCGTCAGTTTAAAGAATTCTTAAACGAAATGGAGGCTCAGTATTCCGACCTCCTTCTTCATAATAAAGTGCAATGGCTTTCAAAAGCTAAAGTGTTGAAGCGTTTTGCTTTGTGCTTAAATGAAATAAATAAATTCCTAAATAAAAATGGCATCAATCAACCTGAATTAGGGAACGACAAATGGTTGCAAAGATTTTTACTTTATGGTGGATCTCACAGCGAAATTAAATGAGCTGAATCTAAAACTGCAAGGAAAGGGAAACCCAGCCTATGTTTTGGTGGAAGAATTGGTTTGTTTTGAAGAAAAATTAATTCTTTTTGCAGATATTCAGAGCGGTAAATTACTTCATTTTCAATTTCTAAAGCAATATCACGATAAAAGTTGCAACAGTGCAACTGTTGACAAGAATTACTTCAGCATAGTTACAAAAAAATTAAAGATAAATTTGCTGGCAGATTTGAACAATTCAAAACCAACAAAACTACCTTAGCATTCATAGTAAATCCTCTTAACACAAATAGTAACGAAATTCACGTTGAGACATTTAGAATTTTTAGGTTAGAATTAGGTTTTTTAGACATGCAATTGATCGATCTAAAAACTAAAGCTTTGTGGAGCGGAAAATTTACAGAACTGAAAAGCAAGTTGGAAGAGTTGGAAGTCCAGAAATGTATGTACGTAACCCAAAAAAAGTGGACAGCTTTAAAAGAAATGCCGCGAATTGAGGGACTTATATTCGACGCATGGAATAGTCGTCCAGATTGCTACAGTGAGGTGAAGAAGTTGGCATTTGGAGTACTAACTATCTTCGGATCGACATATTCTTGCGAGCAATCGTTCTGTTGCATGAATATAATTAAAAGTAAACTAAGAAGCCAACTAACAAATGAAAATTTAGAGTCATGTTTGAAACTTAAAACAACAGGTTATGAGCCAGATTTATCCAAACTTTCTAAAACGCTCCCATTTAGATTATTTGCCCATCTGTTTGTTACTGAAGTGCAAGTTAGTGTTATAAGTGAATATTTAGCTGTTTTAATTTTTTACTTCAATAAATGAAATGTATGAAAATATATATGTGAAAAACACTATATACCTACATATGAACAGATAGATTAATTTTTTTTAACAAAGAACTTTATGCGAGTACTATTTATTGTTGACAAAAAAAAAATTGTGGCTCTCTAAAAACTTTAAAATTTTGTAAATTGTAATTTTTGGTCTTCCGACTCAAAAGGTTGCCGACCCCTGATCTAGTGGAATGAATCTCTTCACGGAGAAGCGCAAAACTTTTGTCTTTCAGATAATTTGGGAGATAAAAGAAATTGTATGGTGTTTAAGTTTTAAAAATATTGGTTACGATATTTTAACGATTCGACATTTGGCCACATGGCAGGGATGTTTTGGTGTCTTTTTCAAACCCATCTGAATGGTATACATCCTAGTATCCAGTTCACGATGGAGGTGGAAACTGATTCATCCCTACCGTTTCTCGACGTTATCATAAAGAAAAACCAATCCTAAGGTTCTCATCACTCCGTTTCTTGAAAACCCACCCGCATTCACCAACATTTCAAATGAACTTATGAGTTTATGAAATTCCTTGTGTAGACTGCCCCGATTCTGTATAGGCCAAACAAATCGCAATTCCGAATTAATTTCAGCTCTAGGTCAACACCATCTTCATACAGGTCACAATATTGATTTTGAAAACTTCAGAACCATAGCCCCCATCCGCTTTTATAAACCAAGAATAATCCGAGAAGACATCAAATGGAAAAAAGGACAAATTGCCTTAATAAAAGAGATGACGGCATCTTACCTTCGACTTGGAGACCTCTCATTAAGACAACATTGTCCGCTCCACCCGTCAATCAGAATCCTACTGTCAGAAATATTCGCGCTAACCAGTACCAGTAATGCATTGATTAGTGATCGATCAGTGTAGTAGTGTCTGGGGACTAGGGAGACAGACCTCGGAAGTCCTGAAGAAGACATCGAAGAGGATGCCGAAAGCTCGGCGTAATGATAATCGACGCTCTATGTTTAACTGTACTAACCACGGAAATATTTCGGAACATTATATGTTATTATGTAGGGGCTACAACAGCTGAACAGGTATCGCCCTCTATAAGTTATTATATCATCTCCATAAGATTTACACCACAGTTGTTCGGTAGATTTCAAAACGTACGGACGTGTTTAAATTATCGGTGTTAATTAATATTATCGATAATAAGTTCTTTTCTTACTTGTTTTGTGGTTTGCGATAAACAATCATTTTTGGTGAAACTATAGGTGTTTTTTTATAAAGATGAGTGAATTTATTGGGTTCAACAAGCCCCCAGAACTGGATCCAGACCCAGACCACCATGATAAGGATGAAAATCAGGTTGGTATGATGGAATTTACAAATATGGAAACAATTTCACAAAAACAAGAGAACCAGAATGTAAGTACTAATTTAATATCTAATTCTTTGGGAAAAAACGGAAATGTTTCTAATGTTAATGAGAAGGTAAATACTAGACAGGTTTATTTATATACAAATAAAGATACCGGACCTTATCATGTTTACATAGAAAATTGCTCCGGAACTTTCAAGGGTAAGTTAAACGCTTTAAGAGTTGGTGATATTATTCTCTCTGCGTTTCCCGAATTAGACGCAAAAAATACAAATATTGATTCCATAGGTCGTAATAAAATTAGGATTAAATTAACAGACTACAAAAATGCTAATTATTTAATAAATCAAAAAATTTCATCAGTATTTGTTACAAATAATTTAGAATTATATATACCTAAATTCATTCTGTTCCGACAAGGGATAATTAGATATATTGATACAGAATTATCTGAAGAATATGTAAAATCAAAAATTAAACAATATGATAGTGATTGTAACTTTGAAATTGTAAACGTTGGCGAATTAAACGCAAAGAGGAAGTAATTGAAAACGATTAAAAAAAAAATTACGTTCCCACAAAATCGTGTATTGTTTCCTTTAAATCTCAGATATTGCTGCGTTATATATCAATAAATAAAGTATTAGAGAGATTGAACACTATACACAAAAAGTTTTAATTTGTTTTAATTGCCTCAAATATGGTCATTTGGGTAGTCAGTGTAAAGGTGGCCCAAGATGTGGTAAATGCCAAGATTCACATAATACAAAAGAATGCCAAAAAAATACTTTGTCCCAAAATGTTTCAGTTGCCAAGGAAATCACTATACAACAAATCTATCAGTGTGTCCAGAGTTTAAGAGACAAAAATTAATTAAGGAAGCTATGAGTTTTTCCAACATAAACTTTTTTGATGCCAATAAACAGGTTCCCAAAACTTCCTATGCACATTAAATAAACGCAATACGAGCCATCCATTTGACTTACTTGTTCAACCCACTTCTTCTACCTATTCACAGTCTACTTCTTCCTCTACTTCTGTTCAGAAGATTCCAAAAGTCAACTCCTCTAGAAAACAATTTGCTTCCCATTTGCTTTATAACAATAGCTCAAACGAATTAAAAGATAAATCTAATAAAAGGCCAAGGCCAAATACTCCTGATCCATCTGAACAGATCAGAAAAAGATTATTTCTCAGGTTAATGTCCCCAGTACTTCGGGAGGAATATTAAGTAGCCCTCAATACAAAAAAAAACAATTATCACAGATCGACAGTCAGAAGTCCTAGATCCTAGTATAATTAATGTAATTTTAGAATTGGTAATGAAAATTGTTAATTCTTTACAACAAACAAATAATTTAAATGTTTCTAAATCAGAAATCATCCAACTAATTAGTAAACATGTAAATTCAGATGTGTTATCAAATTCGCAGACCTAAACTCAAAATTAAATGTTTTGCAATGGAACTGTCGTTCGGCAGTCTCAAATAAAGTAAATTTAGAATTTTTACTCCATCAAAATCAAATTCATATTGCCTTATTATCGGAGACATAGTTTAAGCCTGGTTTGTATTATACCTTTAAAAACTTTAATTGCCTTAGAACTG